CCCCCTGTAGCAGTAGTTCTGCTATCGGGTGGTGGGGAAGAGGTTAAAGTGAAAAAAAAAAAAAGTTAAAGAGCTGACACAAATACATGACGTTAAAGTGTCACTAAACCCAAAATGTATTAACATGGTTTTTTCATGTAATATTATATTATGTAGATGTTGCTGAAATCACTAATGTTCATTTAATAAAGAGTGATAAAAACCTGGTTGATCCTGTTGCTTATTAGTACCGTCTAATTGCCTGTGTCCCCGCTGCAGCATTGCATCTTTTGGATTGTCCGTTTTTACTATAGCGCACTTAGAGACGTTCAATTCCTCCCTTGTCCCAGTTTATCTCACATGACTACTGAATCATCTCTCTGGGCAGATACAGATGGATGACTGACAATCTCAACCATCTCTACTTCTCCTGCGTTTTCAACTTTGTGAGCTCCTTTTACTTTCTTCAGTGCCCTATCCAGTCTGACAGCTCGGCACCCCTGTGCCAATGATCATCAGCCAGCTACTCTCTCTATCCTGTCTGTGATCTACCAAACAGTGAAGACACCCAGTGGCTTTGGTTCTGACTTACAGCTCATCCTGCACATTTCCCCTCTGTGTACTGCTTCTACTATAGATGCAGTTAATCGATCTCTCACACAAAACTCTTACCCCCCAGGAAGACTACGACTGCTTGAGTTTGCAAATTCAACATGGAAAAAAAAATGCCTATAGCTCTATTTTACATGGCAGGCAACTAAATAAAGCACTACAAAATGAAAGGCATCTAAATCAAGCAAAAAAAAAAAGAAAAAGTGAAATTGGCATCACCTTAGCAGTAGATTTTTTGGTTGGGTTCCTCTCTAGTTTTAGTGCTCCAGCTCCTATCGTTGGCAATTGTGTTTGAAATACAGATATACGTCCACCAGTTGGTGATATAAGCTTATAGGCAGCTTGGAGTGCTGGTCCGAGAGCACTTTGTGTTTCGGAGGACTTTGTGAACATTTGTGGCAAGTTCTTCAGCAAATCTTGGACCAGCTAAAGACAAAAATATAAAGAAAAGCTGATAACATTACTGCAAAAACAAGTACATGACAACTAATTAGCTACATGACCATGAAAACAATTGTGATTTAGATTTATGCCTGTTACTCCTGTAACAAGCACCAAATTACCCATTAAACTGACGCTTAACCACTTGCCTACCGGGCACTTTAACCCCCTCCTGACCAGGCCAAATTCAGTGCTATTCAACTCTGAATGACAATTGGCCAGTCATGCAAAACTTTAATTTTATCGTTTTTTTTTTTTTTTTGTTTAGACAGATCTTTCTTTTGTTGGTATTTAATCACTACTAGGGTTTTTTTTTTTTGCTAAAGAAATGAAAATACCAAAAAAACCCTTTTTTTTTCATCTCCTTTATAAAATTTTGCACATAAGTAATATTTCTTCTTCACTGATTTGTGCTGATAGGCTGCACGAATAGGCACCACTGATGGCACTGATGATCAGTGCCCTGATTATCTGTGTACATACCCCTGTCACACTTGCCAGTTACTGGCTCTCCTCATGCTGTAACAGCACGTGAGGAAAGTACTGCCGATAATTGGCAAGTGTGTTTGGCACTTTATCGTGATATGTGGTCAACTGTATCCAAAGGACACAGCTATCGCAGAGCATGTCGGAAGTGCGCTGCAAGCGTGGTTCCAGGAGGATGCCCATGGACACCCTACCAGAACAGCAGAGCCGAGCCACAGACATATTTTGGCTATACCACAGTAAGGAAGTGGTTAAAGAAAGCCAAACAAAACAAAATTTATGTAAGAATTTTAAATCTGAACTTTAGGCAGATATTCAAGGCTGAATTTGATGCAGCTCTGCCTTCATTAAAGTGACCCTTGTTAGTCAGTTAAGAAATTGAAATGCCAGTTGAATGTGCCTCCTACCATTGCAACTGCAGCCTCCAACAGAATCTTTAGCATTCTACACTTCCAGCAGTGCCAGATGCCTTTTTCTTCCACTATGTGATGTGCTTCCATCCTCTGACGCCTACATCATCTTCAGGACACAGCAGTGACACAGGTGTCAGACTATGGAACCACAGCATTTATCTGTTAATCCTGCCAGTAGATTCATTGTTTTTTTTATTTCTTTAAGGGTGACACTGTTCGTTCTGCAATAAAATTGTGAAGAGTTGACATCTGTGGATAGATCAAACTAGTAATCTAACACTACCTTCTCCCCAGATTGACAGTGTCCAAAGTTTTCTCTATTGCTCCTCCAGTGGTGTGGTGACATCCAAATACAGGAAGTGTGTGACTAGCTGGAGCATCAGGTGAAAAGAAATGAAAAAAATAAATAAATCAAGAACCGCCCTCTCTCTCTCCCCACAGGCTCAGAGACAGCAGCAGTAGCCAATGGCTCCTGCTGTTGTCAACCAAATCTTTTGAGTATGGAGTGGGGGGGGGGGGGGGGGGGGGGAAGGCTGAACAGTGCTGTATGTGTCAATGGACACACATAACTGGGCTTGGAAACAAGTCCACACGGGTGCCCCTATAGCAAGAAGCTTTCAGACAGAAGGGGAAGGGAAAGGGAGGAGGAACAGAGAGCGCTGTCAGGGGACACTAGACACTAGGAGGCTCAGGGCTGCTCTGTGCAAAACCATTGCACAGAGCAGGTAAGTATACCACGTTTGTAATTTGAATTAAAAAAAATAAATAAATGATGCAAAATGTATACAACTAATGTGGTCAGAAGTCTACCAGAGGCACAAAATGATGAATTCTTATTAGTTACTTTGTATTGGCTTAATAGAGTCTATTTAAGTTTTAGTTCTTGTTAAAGTTAAGTGGTTTAAACAAACGAAGCTAACACAAGACAAAAGACATTGGTTGTCAAGTCATACCTCTTTGCACTCATTTAAGTTAACCAAGAGATTTTCAGGCATTGGGATGAATACATCTGTAAATAAGCATTAAAAATAATGGATTAATTGCATTCCATTTAAAATTTACAAATCTGAAATTAACTGATGGCTGAGCCTATTCTCTGCACCTACAGTAAATAGAGCCAGCCACCCATAGGATTTCATTATAATTTGAATCTTGAGGTTATAATAGTGTAGTGTTACCTTCAAGCAGCTTAGAAAGGTTAGAAATCATTATAAACACATAATAGGAAGCCTATTCTCGGCCGAATCTCCTTAGGACTACACTTTTACATTAATCTTTTCTAGTAAAGATGTTAATACAGTGGATAGTATAGAAAAGAATCGCACCCCCCTTAAAATAATTACAGTTTGTTACTTTGCAGCCTGAAATGAGGACAGACAGTTTTTGTTTTATCCAGCTGTATTTGCTCTATTATTTTATAAGTGTAACTTATAACATCCAAGTTAAAGAAAAGCATCAACTCCCTCCTAAAAATGACTTGTAAACTCAATCAGGTGTAGCTAATCACCTTCCCAATGGCACACAAAGCCATTTGATTTTCAACTCTGATCAGCTGTGGTCATTTTGGTTAGCTCAGCATGTAAAGAGCTTTCCTGAAGCATTTCAGTCCCTGATAGTGCAAGTGAAGCATCAACTATGGGTGGCAAGGCACTCTCAAAAGATCTCTGGGATAAAGTTGTGGACAGGCACAAGTCAGGAGATGGATACAAAAAACTTTCAATGGCTATATCAATGCCTAGAAGCACAGGGAAGTCTATTGTTAAGAAATGGAAGGTAATTGGTAAAACATAGACCCTCCCTAGATCAGGACATCACTCCAAAATTGATGAAACAGCCAGGAGGAAACTGGTCAGAGAGGCTACCAAGAGGCCTACAGCAACTCTGAAGCAGTTGCAGCAATTTATGACAGAGTGGTCATTGTGTGCATGTGACAATATCACACATTCTCCAAAAATGTGGCTTGTATGGGAGGGTTGCAAGAAAAAAGCCACTCCTCAAGAAAGGCCACATGCAGTCACAACTGAGCTTTGCCAAAATGCACCTTGAAGATTCTGAGGCCACATGGAAAAAGGTGTTATGGCCAGATCAAACTAAAATTGAATTATTTGGCCTCAATACTAAACTACATATCTGGCATAAATGCAATACAGCTCACCATCCAAATAGCACCATTCCTACAGCGTAGCATGGAGGGGGTAATATCCTGTATGGGGGGTGTTTCTCTGCAGCAGGGACTGGAGCACTTGTCAGGATAGAAGGAAAAATGGATAGGGCAAAATACAGTCAAATTTTTCAGGAAAACATCTGCACCCCCCTGGCAGAAAGTTGTCAATGGGAAGAAGGTTTACCTTTCAACATGACAATGACCCAAAGCACACAGGAAAAATTACCACAGGATGGATGAAGGAGAAAAAAAGGTGAATGTCCCTTTATGGCCTAGTCAGCCCAGACTTAAACCCCACTGAAAATCTGTGGAATGACAAAGACTGCAGACTCCAAAGACGGTCACCATCAAATTTAACTGAACTTGAGCAATTCTGCAAAGAAGAGTGGGCAAATATTGCAAAGTCTAAATGTGTAAAGTTAGTAATGACATGTTCCAACGGATTAAAGGCTGTAATTAAAAGCAAAAGCTGGTTCTAACAAAATAATGACACAAGGGCGTGATCCTTTTTCCAACACAGTGATTCCGTTTTTGAATTTGTTTTCTGACATGTTAAGGTTACATCTTTCACTTGGATATTATAAGTTGCACTGAGTAAATACAGCTTCAATAAAACAAATTTCAGGCTGCAAAGAAAAAAAATTTCATTATTTTAAAGGGGAGTGATTCTCTTCTATACCAACTGTAGTTAAGCAGACCTGGTGAAGGAAATTAGCAACAAGTCCAACTTGCCCACAGGATGAATTACCTACTATAGAGGTAGTTTTGCCACATTAGACTGACAGCAGAAAAAGATGTGCACAAAGTAAATTAAAACAATTTCTATAAGAGCACTTACCATCAATGTCTGATACCACTAACATTTGGGGCTGCGAAAGGCCTTCTTGTAAGCTGTAGAAATGGATTGTGCTGTCATACGTGATAAAAGCTATTTTTGTCCGTGTGTTGCCTGGAAGCCTGTAAATGGTTACAAGTGTTATTGGAGTTAATTTAGTATTAGTATTATTTATAAAGACAAGGTTGGCTATTGTAATTCACTATTTAAAGGTTGTTATGGATATACTGTGACTTTAGAAACATCATTAAATAAAAATAACCTCATCTCTACAAAAGCACTGCTACCTCCGACTGTAGCTCTAACAAATTTTAGTTATGTCATTACTGTACTGTTCACTACTCTTCTGAGGACTTGCTGGAGAGAAAGCGGTGTCTGAGAACCTGCAATAAAAGGATCTCCCTGATTTTGTTAATTTAGTATGTGGATATATGCTTTCTGCAGCTCTCCTGTTGCTTCTCTGTCATTAATCAGCCAGTTAAGAGACACAACTCTGGCATGAGGGAGCAAAGCCTTGCTCTCTGCCAAGATTGCCATGTCCACACAGAAACACAGTGTGGGACAAGCCATGGTAAGTCAGTAGTGGGGAAAAGATCAGCAGCCTACAGACACCTGCTGCCTTCAGTCTGCTTTTCTGGGCCAATCTTACTACAGTACAGGTCCAATTTAAATTATACCTGTAGCAATTGTCTTCGCACAGTGGAACAATTAAGAGTGCTTGCCATTTTTCTCCCTGTTTGGGAAGATTTTTCTTTCAACTGCTGTCCTGTCCTAGAGTCATTTATTGAACAGCTAAGATCACAGTCATAATGTAGGGTGCCAGAGGGTACCTTGCAATTACTGTGAACCAATCACTGCCATCATAAGTGTAAACACTAGCAGTTTTTACAAAGATCCAGTTGATTAAGAGGTGGAACTCCCCTTCATCCTTCGTGAATGGACTTAATGTTTGCAAACATAGCAGGAGGGAGGACTGGCAAATCGAAGTGAAGGTAGGAGTCTTAAAAAGCCTCAGACCATCAATAATGACGGGATCATTTTGTTTTGGTGATGATGGTGGTAGGGGGGTCCTTTTTATTTATTTTTTCTTACGTTAAAGAGATGAAAGGTAAATGTAAGCAAATCCACATTTTTGGCCACCGAACGAAAGCAAACTGGAAAAATCAACCAAAAAACTATATAAATTTAATTTGGGTACAGTGTTGCATTACTAGGTAATTACACTGTTCAACAGGTACAAAGTTTTGGGCATAAAATTAGCTAATCTTACATAATTTTGGGGTGCTGAAAATGAAAATGACCCTAAAAAATGTTGATTGGCCCTAGTTTCCATGATATATTCACCCATCTAATGACGTAAGCCATTCAAAATTATGATGCAACTTCAGCTGCATATTGCGCAATTGATACTGGTGACCAATAGAAAATTGCATGTATACTGAGATGATGCAATATTAGCCTTTAATTGCATCACTTCACTGCATAAAAGCTGCAGTATCTGTAGCTGATTGTAGTTCGACAGCGTCTTTACATTTCGTTTTATGCTTATATAGGCTACTCAGTAATGCCTCGAACTTGTGTGAATAAAGCAGATAATTTCTGCTATATCTGCGGTGAAATAACTTTTATCTCACAAAAAAGGAGGATAACAGGAATGATTAAGAAAGCCTACAACTTGTATTTTGGCTGCAAGATAGGAGACCAGGACAAGAGCTGGGCACCACATATATGCTGCAATTCTTGTGGGATGGCACTGGAGCAATGGTTGAATGGAAAAAAGGCATCTATGCCTTTCGCTGTGCCAATGATTTGGAGAGAGCCAACAAATCATGTTAGTAATTGTTACTTTTGTATGGTGCCTCCAATTGTAAAAGGGCTAAATAAGAAGAAAAAGTTATCTGTGCACTATCCAAATATTCCATCGGCAATACGTCCAGTTCCTCATGGAGAGGGGCTACCAATTCCTAAAGCACCAGAATCCTTCGTGGTTGAGTCTAGTGAGGAAGAACCTGAAGCGTGTAGTCACGTGAAGTTGTAAGAGATAGCCCTTTCCTCGAATACAAGAGAAAAGCCAAGAGAAGCAAAACGGACACAAACTGAAGACAAAACTAGTGAGAATCCTAAGTATTAAAATGATTCAACTTAGCTTATGGCTATAATTTTTCTTGGTAATCCTATGCAATATATTATGCCATTTAGGCTTTGTTATGTAGTCAATATCACTTGCTTTATATTTGTGGAAAGACATCTATCTATATAATTATTGTGCATTATGTAGTCATTACACCTATAGTAGAAAACTTTCCGTTTACAGAAAAACTAGAGCCAATTGACAAATTTCATTGTTATATTTGAACTCAGAATGTGAAATTCATTAAGAAATGGATTTTTTGTTTCCAAAACTGGCAAAAAATAAAAAATTTGTTGAACAGTGTTATCAAACTATCATATTAAAATGAAAATGGAAAAAATGGGCTAGTAATGAAGGCTTGTACTCAGGTGGTTAAAGATAATCTTCATTAGACTTAAGATTATGAAAGGCCCATAGATAAATAACAAAAAAAATGACTATGATTCACATAAGATTACAAAAACAAAAATTAAAATTTAACAGTTGTCCAACTATGTAGCTGGATGATTCAAATGTGTTTTTTTTTTTTTTTTTTTACAGACTTGAATTTAGTGGATACATTTGTGCATAAACCTACCATTCCAGATTGTCAAGCAAGGTCTGACATACAGTGTTCAAATATCCAGTCTCTATCGCATTGTGGGACACATCAAACATGAACAGATATACTGGAGGCTGAGGAGGACGAAGCTTTAAAAGCAAATGAAAAAAGATTATTAACTGAATAGCCTAATAGATATGGCTGAGTGTAAGCACATTTTTAAAGGCAGTAATAATTAAGCAAATATGAATGTATTCACTCTCATCACAGTTGTAACTATTGTTTGATTGTGTGTACTTTCAGATAAAGCTTAGTAGAGGGTTCTTATAGCCTAGAACACAAACTAGTTACCACGGTAGATTGAACTCTGTATATTGGACAACTACTCCTGATTAATATTCAATCTATTAATGCAATGCTCACAAAAACATCAACTGAAAAATGAATCACAGACACAGTGAATTCTAGAGGCACAAAAAAGGCACATGTACAAATAAACTGTTCACAATACGATGTTATTGCTGAAACCTCATTAAGTATGACTTGTGTTCCATTCTCTACTGCTGGTGATATAATAAATAAGTGCTGCATCCTGGAGCCTATAAACTGTGTACCAATATGCTGTATGGAAAGTGACAACGTAGATTTGTTAGCTGGGTTAAAATAGGGAGCTTCTGAGGATATAACCATACTCAAAGCTCAGATCCGAAATCCTGAGCTCCCCTTTATCTACTACTGTTGAAAGGAGAGCACTTTTAGGGTAAAATTACTAAATTGTAGGGAAATAGTCACAAACACCTGACCATAATGAAGACTTGAAACCTTACAACCATCTACTTCAAGGTATGGGGAACACCCCCACCTCCACCACACTGCAGGACATATGAGCTGACAGATGAAAGTGTAGATGGGGTAACAGGTATTTTACCCATCCAACCAGTCAAATACTTGCAGTGGCTGGGTACAGTGAAGCAGGAGCATTTGAACACATTGACTGCTGGAAATGTATTGCCTCTTTGTTTAGCAGGTAAGTTATGGTTTAGAACTAACCCTGTGCTGTAAGCTGGTAATGTAGTAGTTACACTCACCATATATTCTGATGGTGCCATAAATTCAATAGTGGCATTCTGGACCTCTGGTCTTTTGTGTGGTTCTCCATAAGCTCTTGTTACAGGATTGTACATGAATTCTTCGGGCACTAGATTAACAAATATACAAAGTAGCCCATTACAGCACTGATCTAACCAACTACAAATATGGTATATACACATACAAAATATTGTCACTTTGCAGCATGGACTAAGCAAAAAATGTGAGTTCAATAAATTCACTTACAGGACCACCTACTGGTGAATTCCAGTATTTTAATATTACCATATAGATATTATGGTGCTCTATACTATGAATCTTCAAACCATGACCTGAAGGCCTCATTCCTCCACTCCAAGATTTTACCTGGCCCACAGCAACTCTTATGTGATGGACAGCTTATGACGTAAAAGAGGAACTCTGATGAATGGTTAGGGAGATGTAGGCCGATTGCTATTTAGGAGGACCACAGCTATTGTAGCTCCAATCTGTTTCATCTTCCCTGTGTTCATATATCTTTCCAGTATTGTAGGCTGGCCCATTTCTCTGAGCCCCTTGTTCACCCCAATCCCCACTTTTTGGGGCTGCAACTGTTGAGGCTACCTTTTCCTTTCCTAACTGGTTATCAAACATTGCCATCTTGTGGTTTAATAAAATGTTTTCAAAATTATGATCTCATCTGGATGTCTTTTGATGAAGCGATTTATTGTGAAACATGTTGAGATCTGCTCTTTGCCCCATGGACATATAACATCTGAGCAATGATTACTTATTATTTTCTCTTATTATACTTGTTATTCTTAAAATATTTGTAAAGTCTGAGGATTTATTTTTTGTACCTTTGTGTATTCTATGCATTAAGGCAAAAAAACAGCTCTCCCTACAGCCCCTCCCTTATACTCACTTGAGCCCCCTCTCAATCCAGCACTGTGCACAGGAGGCTATCCAGGGTCTCTCTCTCCTCATTGGTTGAGACACAGCAGCAGGAGCCATTGGCTCCCACTGCTGTCAATCACAGCCAGTAAGCCAATGAGGAGAGAGGGGGCAGGGCCAAAACACACCTGTGTCTCTCGTAGGCATGCATAGAGCAGGGCTCAGAAGCGAGCACACACTAGTGCCCCCATAGCAAGCACCTTGCTATTGTGGGGCACTGGTCAAGGGGAGGAGCCATGAGCCTGCAGGGAACCCAAGAAGAAGAGGATCGGGGCTGCTCTGTGAAAAACCATTGCACAGAGTAGGTAATTATGAAACGTTTGTTAGTTAACCACTTGCCTACCAGGCACTTTTACCGCCTTTGTGACCAGGCTAATTTTCAGCTTTCAGTGCTGATGTACTTTGAATGACAATTGCGCAGTCATGCAACATTGTACCCATATGAAATTTTTATCATTTCTTCACACAAACAGAGCTTTCTTTTGGTGGTATTTAATCACCACTGAGGTTTTTATTTTTTGCATTATAAACATATACAGGCAAAAAATAAATAGGCAGCACTGATGGGCACTAATGAAGTGGCACAAACAGGCAGCACTGATGGACACTGATGAGGTGGCACAGATAGGCAGCACTGATTGAAATCGATGATGCTGCACTGATATGCAGCAATTATGGGCACTTACAGGTACGGATAGGCGGCACTGCTGGGCACTGATCATCAGTGCGGATGTCCTCTGTTTGCCGGTTATCGGCAGTATTTTCCTCATGCTGTGACAGCATGACGAAAAGTGCTGCCGATAACAGGCAACTGTATTTACTTTGTGATCTGATGTCATTGGACACATCTGATCACGTGGTAAAAGGTTGCTGTGATTGACCTTTTACCTAGTCATTTGATCAGCTGTATCGCTGCAGGGGACACGTTCTGGGAGGACGTCCTATAAGTGGTTAACCAGCTTCCCTCTGCCTTATAGCAGTTTTACGGCTATAGGTTGGCTCTCCTGTGCTAAATCACGTATATATGTGATTTTGCACTTCCACCTCAAGGGGCGAGCGAACGCCGCTGGTGGATCGCTTCTGCTGTAAACTATCACAGCAGAAGGTGATCTGCGAGTTCAGGCGAATGCATCTTCACCGGCACCCGCAGATCGCTGGGCAAGGAGGAAGAACACAGCTGTGCCTAAGTTTACATAGGCCCAGCTGTGCTGTGACAAGAGAAAGTGTGACCCATCATGTGTCCCCCTACAGAGCTGGGAACAGGATCCATCACTTCCTATTGTACCAGCGCCATCTAGTGTACACCAAGCACATTGCTAAGCACACAGTGAACACTTTGATCAACCTAGATGCTAACCCCTTCCTAACCAGTATCATTAGTACAGTGACCAGTATATATTTTTAGCACTGATCACTGTATTAGTGTCACTGGTTCCCAGAAAGCGTCAGTTAGTGTAAAAATGTCTGCCGCAATATCACAGTCCCCCTATAAGTCGCTAATCACCACCATTATAAAAAAAAAAGAAATCAAGTCTCAATATAAGTCCCATAGTTTGTAGACGTTATAACTTTTGCCACACTAATCAATTTATCCTTATTGAGATTTTTTTTTTACCAAAAATATGTAGCAGAACACATTTTGACCTAAAATTTATGAAGGCATTTGATTTTTAATTTTTTTATTGGATATGTTTTACAGTAGAAAATTTAAAAAAAGTTTTTTCTAAATTGTCGTGTTTTTTTTTTGGTTTATAACACAAAAAGTAAAAACCGCAGAGATGATCAAATACCAAAGAAAGCTCTATTTGTAGGAAAAGGAGGGCATACATTTCATTCTAGTACAGTTTTGCATGACCGTGCAAAGTAAAGTAGCGTCATATTGCAAAAAAATGGCCTGATCAGAAAGGAGAGAGGGGTAAATCTTCCAAAGGGCAAGTGGTTATAGAAAGAAAAAAAAAAAAAAAAAACACCTTTAGAATCACTATGGTATAATTGGTAAGTGGAATACTATGCATAAGGTGTTACTTAATTGTAGATTTTCTGCTATACAAGTGGCTATATATGCATATTCAATGAAGTGCATTTTTATGGTTGATATGGTTTCAACTCTGTATACCTAATAAAAATGTGATTCTAAATTGTTTTTGTGGTTTCTCCCAGAGTCTTGGCATTCTTTTGTCTATTTTGGAGTTCTGTTTTCATTTGCAAAACCTGCAAATATTTGAAAAAATATACAATGTGGTGTTCATACTGAAAAGATTGGAGACCCCCTGCTCTATACCATTACTGTATCTGAAAGACTGGACTTCAGGCATTAGGCAATTAAAAATGTTTTAATTAAAAATAAAAGTGAATGTACCAATCCTGGAGCAGCCAAAATCTGGAATAGTTGTGCATGTCAACCAAACGGCTTCTATCTTTCATTTTCAAAGCTCAACCACTTCAATACCAGACCAATTTCACTCCCTTCCTGCCTAGGCCAACTTTTAGCTTTCAGCAATATCACACTTTGAATGACAATTATGTGGTCATGCAACACTTTACCCAAATTAAATCTTTATAATTTTTCCTCACACAAATAGAGCTTTTTTGGGGGGTATTTAACCATCACTGGGTTTTTTATTTTTTTGCTAGATAAACAAAAAACAGACTGAAAAGTTTGAAGAAATAAGTTTGTTTGTTTCTGTTATAAAGCTTTGCAAATACATAATCTTTCTTCAGAAACTTGGGCCAAAATGTATACTGCTACATTTCTTTGGTGAAAATTACCCAAATAAGTAAGAGTCCACAAACTTCGGTGTATATATCTAAAAACCGATCAAAACCAGATGTATTGGCGGCCCATCTCATTTCTTGAGGCCCGAGAATGCCAGGACTGTACAAATACCCCCAAATTACCCCTTTTTGGAAAGTAGATAGTCCAAGAGGTTTACTGGGATTTTTGAAGTTATAGTTTTTTTGTCACTTTTTTTTTTTTCTTTACACCATACTGTCACCAGTGCAGTACAGCGTCATCATATAACTGGTGTGGCAGTGATCAAAGACTGGTGATAGTATGTAAAAAAAAAAAAATTATTGGTTTTCTATTTGTTTATAATAATTTTTTTTTTTCATTACCTTTTTTATGAATTTTTTTCCTCATACTGTGACCAGAGCAAAACAGTGTTACCACAGTACCACTTAACTACTCTGAGGAGGTGATCAGGATTTTTTTTTTTTTTTTTTTTTAACTATAACTGTTATAAGCAACCATTTTTTCTGAATGAAATCCATTGTGTACTACTGTGATTAACTGTGATGGGCCACAGCTATGCTGTCTATACCATGTGATCACTGTGACCAATTACAGAGATCAACACAATAGTACACAATGAATTGCATGAATGGAGACCATCCATTGTGCACACTTGTTATGTGATCTGCTGTGATTGGTCACAGCAATCATATGGTAGCGACAGCAGGCTAGTGGACACAGCAGGTGACAAATTGTACTGCAGCACAGCTCATGGGGCAAGTGAGGTGCGATCCTGGGACAATGTCATATGATGTCCACCCAAAACAGTAGAGCTCCTGCCCTGCATATTACAATAGGCCAGGCAGGAAGCAGTTAAAGCGGAACTAAACTCATCGATTTAACAATTTCAAAAAAATATTACATTCCCGACATATGCTGGGAATGCAACTCACATTTGCTTACGATCTCAACCAAACTGTCAAACCATCATATAGCTGGTGTCATTACTGGTCTAATCACATGTGCAGTATCATGATAGTTGAAGATCAAACAGGGGCTAAGATAGCAGTTTGCTTGGCTGAAATTGATAGGAGGGTATAGTCCTGCTTTAACTAAATAAGCTGAAGACAGCAGCTGCTTAGTAGTCATTCAATTCTACTCCAGATTCTGCCCCAGTTTTGATAAATTCACCCCTAGTATACAGACAGTCTGTTGCCTAAAAAAGGGGTGGGGAACAAATGTGAAAAAATATTATCTCAAGAGATTCTCATTACTACACTATTCACAAAGTACCATCTAAATCCAGACAAGGCAATCCATTTAACCCGCTTAATCAAACAATTACAAAATGTACATACTTTATTTAAATACTGCATTGCCCAATTTTATATGTAAACATACACACATAAGATGAGAACTCCTGACATTTTTAGTTTTGTTGGGGAAGAGAGGAAATATCTATCAGGTTTTCATTTTGGTCTGTGACCCCACATAGGAGATATCCCTTCACTTCCTGCTCCAACGATGGCCATGCAAGAAATGGTCACCTTTAAAGACTGTTCAAACAAGTTAGGTGAAATTTCTCAAATGATGGCAGCAAAAACCTGACAAGAGGCCTTACCTTTTCTTCACTTTAACTAAAATAAAATGTTTTGCCTGGAGCCAGGCTTTCATATTTGAAGTCACATATTTAAACACAGACATTTTTCTTATACAATAATTCTATACAAAAAACAAAACACAAAATATGGGTAATGTTTCCTCACACCAAAATACAACTTACCATCGTTTACTCTGTAGCACAAGTTACATTTCCATCGCCTTTGGTCCAAGAAGGTTACAAAAGGGTTGATGTATGTACGGCAAGAGCGGCATCTGACTATAGTACTGGATGTTACAACAGGAAGTTGCTACAAAAACAAGAATAATTTTTATCTCAAAGGATGCATAAAGGTAGAATAAAATATGTCAGACTAGAGTAGAACATATCCAATTAACACTCAAGACCTTTCCAAAGTCTTGTTACTAAAATGTAATTTTGATGATGGCCTTCAAAAACACCCCTACACTACCAACTTATGCATGTAACAACTTTTTGAAAGTTAGTGTTTGTATGGATATCCAAGATAGAGGTCTTAATCTAAAAGCAACATGCAGAACCAGTAGATACATTCTCAGCAACTGTGGATTTAGTTAGGATTGGTAATGTTGCATACAAGTTTACTTTAACCACTTGCCTACTGGCACTTATACCCCCTTATTTACCAGGCCAATTTTCAGCTTTCAGCGCTGTCGCACTTTGATTGACAATTGCGCGGTCATGCAACATTGTACCCATATGAAATTTTGATCATTTTTTTCTCACAAATAGAGCTTTCTTTTGGTGGTATTTAATCGCCACTGGGTGCTTTACTTTTAGGCTATAAATTAAAAAAGTGCAAAAAAGAAAAAAAAAAGTTTCTTTGTTTCTATTATAAAATTTTTCAAACAGGTAATTTTTCTCCTTCACTGATGTGCGTTGATGAGGCAGCACTGATGGGCACTGATAGGCGGCACTGATAGGCAGCACTAATGAGGTGGCATGGATAGGCGGCACTGATAGACAGCACTAATGAGGTGTCACGGATAGGCGGCACTAATATGCAGCACTGATAGGCGGCACTGATAGACACTGATGATGGGTACTGATAGACGGCACTGACTGGCATCACTGCTGGGCACTGACTGGCGGCACTGACTGGCACAACCGCTGGGCACTGACTGGTGGCACTGACTGGCAGCACTGCTGGGCTGCACTGGTGGGTGGGCACAGGTGTGTGGCACTACTGGGCAAAGGTAGGTGGCACTTCTGGGCACAGGTGTGTGACACTGCAGAGTGGCACAGGTGGGTGCACTGCTGGGCGATCTGCTGGGCACAGGTGGGTGATCTGCTGGGCACAGGTGGGCGGAACTTGTGGGTGGCACTGCTGGGCGGAACTTGTGGGTGGCACTGCTGGGCACCGATCATCAGGGCACTGATCATCAGTGCCCTGATGATCTGTGCCGATCCTCGCTCTGACAACTGCCGGTTCTCGGCAGTACTTTCCTCACGATCTGACAGTGTGAGGAAAGTGCAGCCGAGAACCGGCACTTGCATTTCCCTGTGATCAGCGTGTCATTGGACACCGCTGATCACGTGGTAAAAGGCCGGTATGATTGGCCTTTTACCACATCACGTGATCAGCTGTGTCCGTAGGACACAGCGATCACGGAGATCGCCAGGTGCGCGCCCCAGAGAGCGCGTGCTGGGAGGACGTCATATGACGTCCACCCAGAACTGGCCGGCCGCAGTGCAGCCGTCATTCGGCTATCTGTGGTCGGCAACTAGTTAAACAACTTTGTCTTTTAAAAAAATTTACAAGTTCAGCTACGCAGAAGAGAACACAATGAAAATATGAAAGTTGGTTTAAAGTGAAACTTTAAAACACATGGACATGACTTTGTAATTCTTCCAATAAACATGTGCAAGAGGCAACTGCCAAGAGGTGTAATCTTTTTAACACTTTTGACAGCATAGTTGCAACAAGAAACAGCAAAAAACCATTACGTAAGGAAGCCTATCCCTTAATAATCAGCACTGGCTGAAATATAATTACAATAGTAAAGCTATCATGTTTTGGAAACAGTTCATACCGACAAATCTTTGAACGGGTGAAGCAGGAGCCCCAGTGGAAGCTTGGCTTTGTTCAGCAGAGCCTGAGTTTGAGGGATGTTGGTCAAGGTACAGCGAAATAACCTGCAAGGAACATCAATACCGATGTAAGACACAGCTATATTTAGTCACAAAAGAAAGGTTTCTTTGGTCAAAATACATAATAGTACGGCATGCAGCGTGCCCTATTACCTGTTTTGTGTTTATTTTAATACCTAGGGATGCAGTCTTGTTTGACATCTACATGCACTGTGGGACATTTTTCTGATCAAATATGTACCAGTATTTTTAAAGGGGACCTTTTCCGGGCTTCAGTACTTGACTTGGAGTCACTAACCAGCAACAAATATGAGGATAAGGAGTCAGTTTCCTGATCTGCACATTTTTTCAGAAGGTCAGACTAGCAGTAAGGCAACAAGCATTGTCAAGAGACAGTTACGACAGCCTTGTGTCAGTTTTTAAGAAAGGTTTACCTTAAAAAGTGTCTTCTGTAAACTACTTGGCTCTTAATTACATTCTAGGATTCCAGTTCAATACCCATTATCTGGATTTGAGCCTATTACTAAACCATTGTGTTTCTAGAGTAACGTGGAGCTGCATGCAGACATATGCTAATCAATGGAGACATGAACTCGCCTGCACCTCAGAGATGACAGGTATGCAAGATAGCCGTGTGGCCCCAAATGCAGACCATAAGCTTTGGAGGCCACACAGCCGTCTCTACAAGTCTGTTAAACTTGGATGTATAGGTAAGCTTGTACATCCCAGAAGACCAAGCGACCACCCATCAAAGCCCAGGTGAAAAGCACACTGCCCTTCCACACTATTCCCCAAATAGGAAACCAGCACCAAGGTACTGTAGCATGTCCTGTCTGCTGACCATCCAGGAGGGTAGAGGACCCCACAATAAGTGATACTTTCTTCCTAGCAGAAAGAGTGGCACTCAATTGCTGAAACCCCTTTCTTCAATGTGGAGACCATCAGTTGAGGGAACCCTAAGGCAATACCTGGTCTTTAAAGAAAACCGTGCCGTCAAAAATGAAACACTTAGCATTGTTAAGCATTTACAGCAGGTCACGTGACCTGTCGCAGTTCCCAAATTTTACTGGGAGTTGAAGACCCTGCAGCACCCAGGTGACGTTCAGTGAAAATACAAACCCACAGAAGAATCCCCCCAACAACTTGGAAACTACAGAACTTTTAAGTGCGCTTTCATAAAGCGCACCAAAACCACAAGACATATGATACGGAACTCTATGGGAAAGTGCAGCTAAGCGGCACCAAACCTGTAGGTACACTGTGCTATCCCCATGGTGCAATCAAACTGCACCACATCAGTGTTAAAGTGGCCCAAAGCAATTTTTGACTGAAACGAGCACATACATCATTTGTATATATTTATAAGTTATTCACACAATTCAGTGTGGCAACAATGTCAGTTTTAATCACAGTCCAAACTATTTTAGTAATGTAACTAAGCATATTAAATGGTTTGTGCACTCAGTAGAACCATATGAAATAAACCCTATAATAAGAATAAGGAGTGGAAGAATACAAAGACCAAAAGCATGTGATCCACATGATGGTCGGGAACATATAAATTGTTAGTAGATCCAGCAAATAGCAAGCAACAGAAGTACAGTCATGGCCAAAAATATTGGCACTCCTGCATTTCTGTCAGATAATGCACCACTTCACCCATAAAATTGTTGCAATAACAAATGTTTAGGGATTCTCATATTTATTTATTTTTTTGTACTGGCATGACACAAAAAAATGGAAAACAAAACAAAAAAAAAACAAATCTGACACATTCCACACACAACCCCAAAATGGACTGGACAAAATAATTGGCACCATCAATTTAATATTTGATAGCACACCCCCTGGAAAAAAAAAGCAAGTCAATCATTTCCTGTAACCATCAATGAGTGTCTTACACTTCTCTACTGGAATTTTGGACCACTCTTCCTTCGTCAACTGCTCCAGGTCTCTCAGATTGGAAGGGTTCCTTTACCCAACTTATGTTCTGAGATCTCTCCACAGGTGCTCTATGAGATTGAGATATGGACTCATTGCTGGCCAGTTCAGTACTTCCTAGCCCTTTATCTTAAAGCATTTCTGGGTGCTTTTTGATGTGTTCCTTGGGTCATTGTCCTGCTGAAATACCAATGACCTCTGATGGTGATCCAATTTTCTGACACTGAGTCCTACATTGCACCCCAGATTTCTTTGGTAGTCTTCAGATTTCATAATGCCATGCACACGTTCAAGACATCCTGTGCCTGAACAGTAAAGAAACCCCAAATCATCAGTGAACCTCCACCATGTTTGACTGTAGGGACTGTATTCTTTTATTTAAAGGCCCAATTTATTTTTCTGAAAACAGTAGAATGATGGGCTTTACCAAAAAAAAGCTGTAATTCTGTTTTGTCTGTACACAGCACATTCTCCAATAAGGATTTTGGCTTCCTCAGGTAAGTTTTGGCAAACTTCAATCTGGCATTTTTATGTTTCTGTGTCAGCAGTGGGGTCCCTCTTGGGTCTCCTTCCCTTTTCATTCAGATGGTGACTTATAGTGTGAGCTGACACAGTTGTACCCTGTGCCTGAAGGTCAGCTTGAATTTGTCTGGAAGTTGATCACGGATCTTTATCCACCATCCGGACAATCCTTTGTTGAAATCTTTAATAAATTTTTCTCTTTCGTCCACGTCCAGGGAGATTAGCTACAGTGCCAAGGGTTGTAAACTTCTTGACAATGTTGTGGACAGTGGACACAGGAACATTAAGATCTCTGGCGATGGAATTGTAACCTTGAAGTTGTCCATGCTTTTCAACATTTTGATCTCAAATCCTCAGACAATTCCTTGCTGCTCTTTCTCTTCCCTATGTGGCACACAGAGACACACAACAGAAAGATTGAGTCAATTTTTCACCATTTTAACTGGTTGCCGGTGTGATTTTTATAGTGTTCGCACCTGTTAATTGATACAGGTGAGTTTAATTACAAAATTATATGAGCATCACAAATTTGGAATGCAATTATTTCTTACAATTTTGAGAAGGTGCCAATAAATTTGTCCAGTCCATTTTTGGGGTTTTTAGAATGTTTCAGATTTGGCATTTTGTTTCTCCACTTTTTTTGTTTCAAACCAATACAAACAAAAGAAATAAACATGGGAATGTCAAAACATTTGTAATTACAACAATTTTCTGGGTGAAGTGGTGCATTATCTGACAGAAATGCAGGGATGTCAATATTTTTGGCTATGACTATATGAATGGGCTGAATTCCAGGACACACTAATAAGGGTCTGTGTTTGGAGGGGGAAAGGAGAAGAATAAACGTTTGGGATCCTGCATTTCCTCTGACGTGGAAGACATTTATCCATTCAGTTCTGCAATTTTGGCCAGTGTTTCTTTTTTCGTGTAACTTTATATTTTATTCAAACTGCCAGATGCACTTTAAGACCCCATTCACATTTAGTGATGGGGATCATGGGAGGAATTGCCGAGATTCTGCCCACGATTCCAAATCACAACGCAATGCAGGCTAAAGCATGTGTGTTTGGGTGCCATTCGTTTTCAATGGCATCTAAAACAGTTCGGATTTGCCGCCATTGTCGCTCAATAAATTGTGCTGCAATTGCGGCCAAGCACATTACGCAAAGCTGGTCTCCGAAAAGAAGCTGTTCCTTTTTGGGCAACAGGCTTTGTGCAATGTGGTTTACCGCGACTGTAGCACAATTTATCATGCAACAATAGCGGCCGTACTACATTTTGGTGCCACTGCGCTTCTCAAGCACTGTGATTTGGAACTGAAGGGAGAATTAGGGCAATCCTGCTTGCGATCCCAAATTTTTAGATGTGAATAGGAGCTAAAGGAACACTGCATATTAAAAGGACAAAATATGCTATAAAGTGCAATTCAGTAAACATATATACCAAACTGAAGTCCTATGACTATAGGCCATTATGACTAGGCAAAACCCCCTCACTTCCTGGTAGTGCTAAAGCTCACCCACACCCTGTTTGCTCCTACAGATTCTTAATGATTAATATCTATAGTAGGCTGTTTGTGGCACCCTTTGGGCCTGTTCACCAGAATTGCACAAGAATGTGCTGTGTGTTCCCCTGCAGTGTGAATTTGCAGACTACTCATTTGAATGGGCTGCAAATCACCCTGGAACGTACAAATAAAGTATTACATGCTCTACTGTTGAAAAAACACACACCATCAAATCGTTTGGTACTCAAGACAGAATATCAACCAAAAATTCAGAAAAAAAAAAAAACAAATTATACAAAATGTTATAAATTGAGTTGCAGTTCAGTGAGCAAAATAAGTATTTGCTCCCCAAGCAAAACAGGACTTCGTACTTGGTGGCAAACCCTTTGTTGGCAAGCAGAGGTAAGATGTTTCTTAGCAGGTTTGCACACATCTAAGGAGGGATTTTGGTACACACCTCTTTACAGATCTTCTCGAAATCCTTAAGGTTTCTTGGCTGTCGCTTAGCTAAAGTTTCAGCTCCCTCCATAACTTTTCTATAGCGATTAAGATCTGGGGACTGGCTGGGCCATTTCATGACCTTAATGTGCTTCTTCTTGAAACACTCCTTTGTTGCCTTGGCGATGTTTTGGGTCATTGTCATGGTGGAAGACCCATCCAGAATCCATCTTCAGTGTTCTGGCTGAGGGAAGAAGGTTCTCATCCAAGATTTTACAATACATGGACCCCTCCATTGGCCCCTCAATGCTGCAAAGTCGGCCTATACCTTTAGCAGAGAAACAGCGTCAAAACATAATGTTTCCACCTCCGTGCTTGACTGTAAGGATAGTATTCTTAGGGGTCATAATCAGCATTTTTCTTCCCCCAAACACGGCGAGTCGAGTTAATTCAATTTTGGTCTCATCTGACCACAGCACTTTCTCCCAATCCTTCTCTGAATCATTTAGATGTACACTGGCAAACTTCAGATGGGCCTGTACATGTGCTTTCTTGAGGAGAGGGACCTTTCGAGTGCTGCAGGATTTCAATCCACGGTGGCGTATCATTCACATGCTCCTCTCCTGTAGTTCTGGGCTGATCCCTTACTTTTCTCATGATCATCCTTAGCCCAGGAGGAAAAATCTTGCATGGAGCTCCAGACCGAGGGCAATTGATGGTTATTTCTTATTTCGTCCATTTGCGAATAATTTCTCCAACAGTTGTCTCCACAAACGTCTTGATGATAGACTTGTAGTCCATTCCAGCCTTGTGCAGGTCTACAATCTTCTCCCTGACATACTTTGACAGCTCTTTGGTCTTGCCCTTGGTGGAGCCAAAAAAGAGTCTGTGGACAGGTATGTCTTTTATACACATAACGAGTTGTCATTAGGAGCACCTTCTTAAATTGACAGGACTAATCTGTGTAACACATGAGCACATAGGCAGTCGGTGGGAGACAGAAATATTGTTGGTTGGTATGAGATCAAAAACTTATTTTACTCACTGAACTGCAACTCAATTTATAACATTTGTATCGTGTTTTTTTCTGGATTTGTGGTTGATATTCTGTCTCGATTATTTAAAATACACCTATGATAAAAATTATAGACCCTTCATTTCTTTGTAAGTGGGCAAACTTACAAAATATGCAGAGGATCAAATAATTTTCCCCACTGTATCTTAAGCTGTAGTGATATGGAAACTTTAACAGTCGTTTTTGTAAATCATATTAGATAATCTTTTCTATACAAGTAATCTGTATGTTTTTGGGGTCCTTCAGGCATAAAAATAGCATAACAGATTGTATTATTTTACCAATAACAATCAATAATAAATAAACCTTACTCTGGACTACAATTGAGTTTCCGAATATCTTCCTGTAGACAGGGTGTAGGAGCCTTTACTGGTGCTGGTGGCAATATGTTCCTTTCCTGAAGAAGGTTCACAGCTCGTAGTTCATCCAATTGCTGTGCTTGATGAAGACTCAGACCTCCCACCGATGATACCAAATTATTCATCCCCATAGTAGGCTATAACAAAATTACAATAAATTTATATATAAAGAAACTCCACAGAATTATAAGCAACTACATAAATATTTCATATTCTCCGATCACAAAATTCACTGGACATTTAACCATTTTTTCCCCCTAAAGGGTTTGGGGGGAGGGGGGAAGTGGTATTGTGGGCAAAATCTAAAATTACGTGTGGTGCAGTCTGTCACTGGCATTAACACAGATGTTTTTGTTTTTCTAAGACATCTATGACAGCTTTATTATTGGTTAATCCTGTGTTATCAACTTCCTATAACATGTATGGTGTTTATACTTCAATCCTTCAATTAAAGCAGACAGCAACACTGTCATTCTGTAGACAGCAATGAATAAAAAAAAAAAGCATCTAAGAAGTGCTGGGACACAAAGTGGTGAGAAAAAAAAACCCAAACACATTCAGAGAGCTCACTGACTCATGTTAGGCTGCTCACGATAGAGAGGGCTATCCTCCAGTATGTACTCAGCAGGTTACCAGAGAAAAAATGTACCAATGGAAGAAGCAGCAAAGGAGTCCTAATTCATTTACTCATTTGCATAAAAAAAACAGCCAATGGTTCTGGGGACCAGACAGCACCTTCATCAGGGCTTTGGTTAAAATAAACTCGAATGGACTCATTAATAGGTCTGTGTGAATCTATGCAAGGAAGTTAAAGAATATGTAAACCCAACATTTCATATCCACAATATGTGCCTGCTGTACCATGTACCTGTATAAAAAAAAAAAAAAAAAGTACCCTGTTCACTTTGTATTGATACCTTTGTGTAAAATCCCTGGTGTTCCTGCCAGTTCCTCTGCTTTCCTATTAAAAAATTGACCACTATAAGCAGAATACACCATGATCATTTCTGTAGCTGTGCTGGAAACTCAGTGTACTCGCCCTCCAATGATCACTTGTCCTGACACATCTGCCTGCACAGCCTTTCAATGGGAAGATCGCTGTTCTGTTGTTTCTCCTCCCATAGGCTCTTATGCAGCCAAGAACAGAGTGTATGTTATCACTTATAAAAAAAAAAAAAAATGTGCATGAAATATTTTATTATATCTATACATAAAATGTTTTGCCTTTCATTTCTGTTTAAAACTGAATGGGTTGTTTTAGAAGGTAAGGGTTTACGAATCACTTTAAAGTGAAACTAAAGCTTCACTTTCAAAAAATTACAAGCAGGCAGGCTCTTTATTACATTTCCTTCAGTAGTCCAATGTCATTCACCAGGATCTTATACCTGCCTTCTTAGGTTTCTTTTATTGCAGCAAAGACTTTGCATGTACAGTGAAGGAAATAAGTATTTGATCCTCCGCTGATTTTGAATGTTTGCCCACTCACAAAGAAATGATCAGTCTAAAAATCGAATGGTAAGTATATTGTAACACTGAGAGACAGAATAGCAACAAAAATTCAAAAGAAATGCACTGGTTTCATGAAGGAAATAAGTATTTGATCCCCTATCATTCAGCAGGATTTCTGGCTACCAGGGGTCTTTCATACACGTAACAAGCTGAGATTAGAAGCAGTCTCTTAAAGGGAGAGCCGCTAATCTCATTTTGTTACCTGTATAAAAGACACCTGTCCACAGGAGCAATCGAATAATCAGATTCCAAACTCTCCACCAATGGCAAAGACCAAAGAGCTGACCAAGGATGTCAGGGACAAGATTGTAGACCTACAGAAGGCTGGACTGGGTTACCAAACTATCACCAAGCAGCTTGGTGAGAAGGTGACAACAGTTGGTGCAATCATTCGCAAATAAAAGAAACACAAAACAACTGTCAGTCTCCCTAGGTCTGGTGCACCATGCAAGATCTCACCTCGTGGAGTGTCAATGATCATGAGAACAGTGAGGAATCATCCCAGAACTACACGTGAGGATCTTATCAATGATCTCCAGGCAGCTGGGACCACAGTCACCAAGAAAACAATTGGTAACGCACTACGCTGACAAGGATTGAAATCCTGCAGTGCCCACAAGGTCCCTCTGCTGAAGAAAGCACATGTCCAGGCCCATCTGAAGTTTGCCACTGAACATCTGAATGATACAGAGGAGGACTGGTTGAAAGTGTTGTGGTCAGATGAAACCAAAATCGAGCTCTTTGGAATCAACTCAACTCGCCGTGTTTGTAGGAGGAAGAATGCTGCCTATGACCCCAAGAACACCATCCCAACTGTCAAACATGGTGGTGGAAACATTCTGCTTTGGGGATGTTTTTCTGCTAAGGAGACAAGGCAACTGCATCGCATCAAAGGGACGATGGACGGGGCAATGTACCGTCAAATCTTGGGTGAGAACCTTCTTCCTTCAGCTAGGGCACTGAAAATGGGTCATGGATGGGTGTTCCAGCATGACAACGACCCAAAACACATGGCCAAGGCAACAAAGGAGTGGCTCAAGAAGAAGCACATTAAGGTCCTGGAGTGGCCTAGCCAGTCTCCAGACCTTAATCCGATTGAAAATCTGTGGCAGGAGCTGAAAGTTTGAGTTGCCAAACATCAGCCACCAAACTTTAATGACTTGGAAAGGATCTGCCAAGAAGAGTGGGCCAAAATCCCTCCTGAGATTTGTGCAAACCTGGTGGCCAACTACAGGAAACGTCTGACCTCTGTGATTGCCAACAAAGGATTTGCCACCAAGTACTAAGTCATTTTTTGTGAAGGGGATCAAATACTTATTTCCCTCATGAACATGCAAATCAGTGCATAATTAGTTAGACATGCATTTCTTTTGAATTTTTTGTTGCTATTCTGTCTCTCAGTGTTACAATACACCTACCATTCAATTTTTAGACTGATCATTTCTTTGTGAGGTGGGTTACATTCAAAATCAGCAGGGAATCAAATACTTATTTCCTTCACTGTACATGCAAAGTCTTTGCTACAATAAAAGAAACCTAAGAAGGCAGGTATAAGATCCTGGTGAATGACATCGGACTACTGAAGGAAAGGCAAGTATCACAGATTTTAGTTCCACTTTAAAAAGCTGAATCGGGAACAGTTACTAGCTAGCAGCATCTGCTTGAGTAATGAAGATGTGGACAGGGCAGTCTTAGATTGACATATAGTTATAAATGAATGACAACCAAATGGAAGCCCAACTCCAGCTAAAACATTTTAAGCAGTTATAGTAAAAAATGTTTTATTCTTTGGAAAAAAGGTTTAAACATTTGTGAATAAGAAAAAACTAAATCATTTAAGCACTTCTATCAGTGTTAAATGGTTTGACCCAACCCCTGTAAATGCCACCTTTTCTGAAAACCTTGGCCTGCTACAGGAGGAGAGATAATAATGGATCCACTAATATAATCAACATGTAAAATAATTAGGTTTAATGTAATTAGATTACAGCATCATATGTGTATTTGTTTTATTTTTTCCCATAGTTATGCTTTAAAAACCTTTATTGAGAAATGGAAATAATTTAGTTGTTAAGGAGACTAGACGGAAAACCTCTAGATGCAACAGCAAGCATATGTAATGTTAACCCACACTATCACGTGCAAAGAAATCCTTAAATGATCTCAAAAAGTTAATAAAATCTATCACATCAACAGCAAAATCATCATATCTATTTTAATGCAAATATATTCGATGCAACCAGAAAAGAAGTACATCCAGCTGTTTGTTGTGCCATTCGCCAAAAAACGATTTGTGTCATGTAAAGTAATACTCATAAAAGGAAACTGTGTATTATTCTGTATTCTACCTGAGGCAGTGGCTGCGGTGGAGTAGGATATCGCTGAGTAGCAGTTGTTAAAGTTGGACCTCCTGGTGGAAAAGCATTCTGGTACCCTGGAGGTAGTGTTGGGTATGCATTCCTACTGATTTTAGGATTCTGAGGAGGTGGAGGGAGCTGAGCTGGATGAACCATTCCTGTGACAAAAAAAAAAAAATAAAAACATGAAATTATAATTAAAAAGATCAATTAAAAATCAGGGCCACCTGAAGCTCTGGCACCAAGTGTTTGAAGGTAGGCAAGCCAGCCCTGTCCTCACAGTGTAAGGATGCCTGTGAGGCAAAACATGTCAATACCATTCTCTGCATTAGGAGCTGCCCACCACTGGGGAACATGGCCCTGCAGGTTATGTGGTCTGATAACTTCAGATAAGGTAGGTATAAATTAAAAACAGTCCAGGTGGCTCTGAGTCAGGGGGGGGGACACGAAAAAAAGTTTAAAAAATAAAATAAACATAATAAAAAAACAGTTTTTCTTCTCCGCACCAGAGCACATAATGTAAATACATGCGATAGATGTGCCTCCTTACAGAAATTGCTAATGTGTTAAACATAATCACCATGCATGCTGCAGTGAGAGCAATTCTTCTATTACTCCTGCTTAACTCTTTCTTAAACTCTTCACTTAAACTGATGAACTGCAAGGGCTATTGTTCATCACCTATGGGCAATTTTGGGTACAAAAGTTGTTGCCGTTTCACAGATGTGCATAATTTTAAGGTTTGGTCTTTTGATACGCATTTACATCATGCAACTTTATACTTTGCCAAAAAAGGGCTTCAGTGTATTTTTTACCCAAAATATGCATTTGATAAACATGTGCACAAGTATTATGTTAACAAATTGCCATTACCAGAATTATTTTCTCCAGGGTCTCGGTTTTTTCAGAAAATATAAATTGTTTGGGGGTTTTAACTAATCTTCAGACCTAAAATTTGCATTCAATGTGTGCAAAAATGGAAAAACTGCTCTGGTACAAAAGTGGTTAAAATAATTTATAAATATTTTTGAAGATCAGAGCAGGCACCACATTATACATTATATTATTCTTTATAGAGCCTAGTTCCAATGTAGTGGTCCACCTGTGGTTTGGTACAGTTGCTATCGATACAATACCAAAGCAAAATGATAAAAACAAACCAGACCAGAAGCAAAAAACACATGTAGACCGGAATCAAAATACAGATGGGCTCCCAGTGAACACTCCTAAAACGTTTTCTTTTTTTCTAGACTAAGGCCATAAACCGCAATTCTGCTATTCCAATGAAAGTGACTCAGGTGTTTATAACAGAGCAGATATCGCTATCTGCTCTGCCTAAAACTCCAAGCACACTGGGCGTTTTAATAACGCTGGTAATGTTAGCTATGTAAAGTCACATTAAAAACGTTAGTTTTTCAGCATTTTTGCATGAGTTTTTAACGGCGTTTTGCCACGTTTACCCGTTCTGCGTTTTTGGGCTTTGTTTGGTTTAAAAAAAAAAAGCTCAAAAATGCAGATTGCAGCGATTTACTGTGTTTTGCCGTATTTTTACAGCTAAAAAACTCCTCTAGAAACTCACTAGTTCTGGATTTTATTTCCAGACAAAAAATGCCCCTGCCAAAAACCGCTGATTACAGTCTATGTATGCATGGACACATAGGATAACATGCTGGGGAGTTTACTGGCTGTAGAAAAAAAAAACGTCAAAAGCCAAAAACAGCAGCTGTAAACACGTCCAGTGTGCATGAGGTCTTATACTCTGCAGCCTTACTCACCACAGCCTGCATTTTGTGGTCCGTTTATAAAATGTAGGCCATAGTACTGGGCCTGCGGTACCTCATGGAGCTCTCTCTGCCAAACTTCAAGAAAACTCAATGATTGGAAGACTGGAAGTCGTGACAAAAAACTGCCCTCCAGGCATTTTTTTTTTTCCCTAGTAAACTCCCACAGTCAGTACAGTGTTTTATAAATATGCAACAGCTTTGTTTTTGTTTTGTTTTTTAGGCCCACATCACAACTTTATGAATGGGACCCTTATGCAGGCCATAGATGGGGAGAAAAAACGGCAGATTTTTCTTTTAAAAAATGAAAATTCGGTCGTTCAAGCGGCCGACGTTACCATCAATGGTAAAAAAAAAATCGGCCGATTTTCATCCCTTCTACAGCTGGCAAAAAGTGTCCCTGCAGAGAGCTCCGCTATTTCTGACAGTTCTCTGACAGTTCCTTCACATTTACAGCGGTTGAAACATTGTATCTATTTGTTTCCATTTAGGATACAGATGTTTTTATTCGGAAACAAATAGATACAATGTTTCAACCGCTGTAAATGTCAAAGAACTGTCAGAGAACTGTCAGAAATAGCGGAGCTCTCTGCAGAGATACTTTTTGCTGGACTGGAATTCTTCTTATTTTCATCCTTCTTCTTCATCTTCATCCTCATCCTCTTCTTCATCCTCATCCTCTTCTTCATCCTCATCCTCTTCTTCATCCTCATCCTCTTCCTCATCTTCATCCTCATCCTCTTCTTCATCCTCATCCTCATCTTCTTCATCCTCATCCTCTTCATCCTCATCCTCATCCTCTTCTTCTTCATCCTCATCCTCTTCATCCTCATCCTCATCCTCTTCTTCATCCTCATCCTCTTCTTCATCCTCATCCTCTTCATCCTCATCTTCTTCATCCTCATCTTCTTCATCCTCATCTTCTTCATCCTCATCTTCTTCATCCTCATCTTCTTCATCCTCATCTTCTTCATCCTCATCTTCATCCTCATCCTTTTCTTCTTCATCCTCATCCTCTTCTTCTTCTTCTTCTTTTTGTCTTCCTCTTGCAGGTCACTGCTCATGCGCAGATTTTTTATCGGTAAAAAAAATCGGCCGATTTGCCCACTAATTGCCGCGAAAATCGGCCGATCGGCAAAATCGGCCGATTTTTTTCCAACTTTACCGAAAAACAAAAACGGCCAAAATACCGAAAAACGGCCGACCAAATCGCCCACTAACGATCCGAAAATCGGCCGATTTTATTTTCGGCCGACAAATCGGCCGATTTTCGACCCATCTATGGCCTGCATTAGAAGCTAATAAAGGCCTTGCAGTTAGCCAGGAGAATGGTAGATAGAGGGCTTGGTCATGAAGCCAGGTACAGCAGGCTCCTATTAGAACTAATTTGGTGGAAGCAGAGGGTTTTCTAGCTAGCAAAAGGTAATAGCAACCTGTGGTGTCTGCTAACTTGGCTTTTGGAAACTAGGAAATATTGGGGTAGAATTACTAAAACTGGTGCATAGTGTTTTTTAATATATGAAGTGCTGACAAGTTAGAGTTATCACATTCAAAGGGTCCTGGAACACAAAAGTTGAACTCTTACCCATGAATCCACCACCTTCTATGGTATCGTAGCTGTTTTGAACTGAAGTGTTATCGCTGGTTGAGGGTTGAGGAGGGGGACCTGAAAAAAACATTTAAAAAGTCACCATACCATTATGGTACCTTTTCACAAGCTTTTAGTTTAAAAAAAAATAACACATACACGCTCCCAACTGTTTTTTTTTTTCTAGCTTTTTTTTTTTTTCATTTCCTACATGTACTGTAAAAACGCTAAGGCTCCTAAAAGCTCCTAGAACTTCTAAACGCTACTACCAGTGTTTATCAAGCCTTTTTTGAGCTTTAAAAGAAAAGAAAAAAAAAAAATCTAGTGTGCATGGAGCCTTAAGCCCAATTCCAGCTAAAGTGTTTTATTTTATTTTGAATAGAGCAAGGAAGATTATAGCTAGAGGTGTCTATTACCATCTGTTGAGGACATCTCTTCTCACTTAACGTCAGGACAAAAGTAACGTGAAAACGCTTTGACAGGGAAATTGACAAAAACATTTTATCAATAGAACGGGGGAATAGTGAATACTTTTGGCAGTGCTTTTATTACTGTTCATGTCCCCTATTACTTGTACAGATATAACCACTACATTAAAAATAAACAAATAAATAAGACTTCCATATCCAATTTCAGTTTGGAAATAAAAAAATAAAAAAATCTGACTGCTTTCTAAGACAGGCCATTTACTATGCAATTTTCTTTCCTGCAACCACTGGTGCCATCCCTGCTGGGAGAACACTGATTATTGCTAGTGGCTATAGCTGCTGACAATCGCATGTAAAACTCAGACATGCTGGTTGTACCCAAGTCGTACGACAATCAAATTGGGTACAATCAGCCTGCCTATAGATGTTTTCGAATCTTGGACGGTCCCTGCTGAAGAAAATAGGGCAGAGGAAAGTAGGCTGATCACAGAGAAGACTATACAATATAAGGAATAATGCTCCATGCACAAGGGTGCATAGACCCATAGCTCCATCCAAAGGGTTGTGTTTTATGCACTCAGGGAATGACAGGTCTTCCGTGCAGCCAACCTGTCAAAATTAATGACACAGCAAGAAATTTAGTGGCTGTATGGATCTCAACACGCATGCTAGTGTTTATATCTGTACAGGCACTACATTTTAACTCTTAAACCAGAACTTCACTCTTTCATTCAACATTGACTATTTTTAATCCTTATGGTGCCAGCATTAGTAAACAGAAAGGAATGTATATCATATTTACTTGTTTAAAAATTTTTTTTTTTTTACATTTACATTTCTTCCTGGTTTCCATGCCAAGGCAAATGACGTCGTACATCCCAGGAGTCTTCAGGAGGGGAGAAGAGATTTTCTCAGCTAAGGACACCCTCCTGCCTGCATGCATGATCTAAGGGCAGATGGATTCAGGAAGTAAATGCTATATTATTCATTTGCCCTTACTCAAGATGGTCATGGCCAGAAATGCTATGGGGTGTTTTTGAATGTGATTTCTCAGCAAAATAACACATGGAGATATGGATGAATGGGTTGCAATGACTATTAAAACATAGTGTAACAGTGAATTTGGTTGGTTTTGCTCAGGGGCAGTGTAGTTCAGCTGTAAAAAAAAAAAAAAAAAAAAAAAATAAAAAGGAGGTACAGGAGTTGCTAAACTGTTTGAATGGCAACTCTAAAACAGCAACAGAATAGTGCACAAAGTACAAGAAATTAGCACACTTACTACTTTTCTTCCAATGTGAGTGGTGCAGACATTTCCTGTCTGTTCAAAGACCAGGAAAACCAGCAGCTTTATTACAGATGCTGAGTTTTTTTTTAATGAAGTTAAAATCACCTACTACTAAGTAAAACCCCTTACAAGTGCTTTTCTGTATTGTAAAGCCACGAACTACTGTCAGTGGTTTCCCTTAAGTCTTAAAATGGAAGAAAAACCTAAGGCAGCCCATAGATTATCCAATTTTTTTTTCCTTCCACCATGGGTCAGTCAGTCAGTGCTGATGGGGGGGAATCACTCACGCAGGGATATTGTGTTCTGCTGGAGGGGAGATTTCCTTGCTAGCAGAAAAACAATGATCACTGCTGGTGCTCTAGCTATTCTTAAAAATGCCACATGCAGTGTTTTAAGTTTGTACTTGCCTATTTTTAATCTGCTCTGGTGACATGATACCCATCTCCAGCACAGAAAGCACTTGCTCTACAATGGCTGGGAATTCTAGGCTCTGTGATATCACCCATAGCCCAGCCATTGTTTTCACTCCTTCCTCTCCTCCCTTACAGCTGTCGTTCACTGACACAGGGAGCCAGAACTGTGGGATCATTACCGTAATCTATACACACACTTACTGTATATACAAATACATAGGGGTTGGACAAAAATATGGAAACACTGTATGGATTTGCAGATGTGAAACTGATGACAAGTTCCGTGTTGAAAGCGGAAGTGATAGAACATTCTTTTTTTTCCCCGCTGTGTGATGAGACACCTAGCTAGCAGGTGTGAAGCCTCACTTTCTTCATTCACTATGTGTGCTGCTAGTAATTCGGAGTCATGTCAGAGCTTATTGAGTTTCAAAGAGGGCAACTTGTTCGTGCCTACTTAGTTGCCAGTAACTACTTAGTTACAAAGTTGCCAATTTATTTGTGGAGTCACGAGGTACAGTATCAAAGGCCCCGCAGTCACCTGACCTCACTATCATAGAGCCACAATGGTCAATTTTGGAGAACAAGGATCAGGCTCATTTTCCACCTCCAGCATCTTTGAGAGAGCTGGAATGATTTTTGCATGAAGAGTGGTGTCCTATTCCACAATCCACCATCCAAGAATTATATTTATCAATTCCTTTGAGAATTCAGGCCGTCTTGAAAGGTCCAACAGCATATTAGGTAATAATTTTGTTCTTTTACCTGGTGTTTCTATAATTTTGTCACAAGCTCATTTTGCAACAGGTGCATTGTGAATAAAAAAATGAACCCTTTCAGCACGTTATGCTTTATTTTGCTTTTACTACATGTTCTCTAGCTAGTTGGTTTAGAGGAATTTCAGCATGTGGGCAATTCTGCTAATCTCAGGTGAAAAGGGGGTTACAACCGAGTTCCACAGATCATCCCTTAAGGCTGCATTCACACTTGAGAAATTGTAGCTTGAAGCTCGAAGCTCCAAAAATGCTCAAAGTTAAAAAAAAGGTGCCTGTTCATGTGATCAGGTGTGAACAAGCACCAGAGAGAAAAATTTATTTTTTTTTTAAGTTTGAGCGTTTTTGGAGCTTTGAGCTTGAAGCTACAAATTGTTCAAGTGTGAATGCAGCCTTTAGAGCGAACAGCCAGCTGGTGTTTATCAATCACCTAGAAAATAGCTGGACCAAAATCTCATGTTGCATCTATTGGAACCCCAACCTATGATTTTACAGTCACACCACCAGAAAGAAATATTCACATTAGGGTTGGAACCTGCTGGGTTGAGTGTCCAGTGATTTTTTTATTTCTCATGAGATCCCCCCAAAAAAACCTGACCTAGAGGTAACCATTCTCAATTCTGAAGCTTAGCCTTTTTTCCTATTTGGATATACATTAACTCTTCAGTAGCTACCAAAAACAAGTACAAATTTTGGATGGTTTTAGCTGTTAAAACAGCCTGATCTGAAGTCCCAGTTCAAGAGGGATTACATTTGTAATTGGTAAAGCAATACTGCTGCATCACATACAAGAGGCTTCTGTGCAATGTCTTAACTCAATTAAATACAATGCCCTAAAGTGAAGAAAGCAAAATGCTTATCACTGGTTATAACCATTAAATGGGAACTTCAAATGACCGTTCCATTATCTCAAATGTCAAGACACCTTAACACTTTTAAGCTTTTAATTTTAAAAACAAAATAATGAAATCCTTTTGAAAACCATAATACAATTATATTAGAATATAATCATGTGTAAACATCTGAACTGTATTTAAACATCTACTCCTCCTTTTCATATTACTTTCCTGCGTTCCAAAATCTCACTTCTTTATCCCTCTGCTCCACCCCAAAACTTGTACATCTCACCCTCACTGCTACCATCTCCCTACTACTGCTCTCATCTCCTCCTGCTGATACTTCACTCTCCTGCTTACCCAAACACCAGGACTGGAAGGCATGTGTGCTCGTGTACATCCCGCTCCCATGTTACTTTCCTCACCCTCCCCAAACCCTGGTCCTCCACTATTTCACCCCCACACCAGGCATCCTCTTTCTTCCGGGAATAGCCGCAATCCCCTCAATTTAATATCGGTCCCGTGCTCCCAAAAACCACCCTCCCTTTTTCATGTGCGCTGCGGAATGCCCGCTCTGTCTGTAATAAGCTCACCTCTGTCCATGACCTTTTTGTCTCCTGCTCCCTTAACCTACTAGCAATTACAGAAACCTGGCTTCAAGCAGCAGATTCTGCTTCCCCCGCAGCACTTTCCTACGGAGGCCTCATCTGGACCCACTCACCCAGACCTAGGGTCGGAAAGGTGGTGGGGTTGGTTTGCTTCTATCCCCACTGAGCACCTTTCAAGTCCTCCCTAACTCTCTAGCTCCCTTGTCTCCTCCTCCCATGCTCGTCTCCAGGACTTCTCCAGAGCTTCCCCCATCCTCTGGAACTCTCTACCCCAATTTATCAGACTATTGCCTACTCTGCTCACTTTTAGGCGATCTTTGAAAACCTATCTCTTCAGGGAAGCCTATCCTGCCCTCAGCTAATACTGGAATCTTCTACTCTTCCAACCAGTCCATCCCCCACAGTTAGTACCTTTTGCCACCACTAGCCCTTCCCTCCTAGATTGTAAGCTCCAAGGAGCAGGGCCCAAAAATCCCTCTTGTATTGAACTGTATTGTCTCCAATTATATTGTAAAGCACTGAGCAAACTGTTGGCGCTATATAAATCCTGCATAACAATAATAAAAAAATAACTGTATGGAATGCCTCATCACATTTGCTCCAAAAGGGCATTGTTTGCAGGTAACAAATGCAAGGAGAGTAATAAGTACATGAAAATCTTTTTAGTTTTACATGTCCTAATTTATTTTGTACATTTACATGCAGGGCATGCTGTCCAGAAAAGTGATGGTGACAAAA